GCCCTGCCTGAACCCCAAGCAGCAGAGGGCCAAGGGAAAGTGCCTTGTCATCCCCTCCCAGCCAAGTGCATAGGCCATCCAGGCCAGGCAGTGTCAAAATCCTATCCCCCCACTCTGCTCCTCCTACTATTTGCCTTCCCACCCGCATCTATGCAGATATTCCCCTCTCAAACCGCCATTACTCAGATGCCTCACACCCCCCGCAATACGCCCCTACCGCCCACCCCATCCCACCTCACTCCACCCATTTTTTCCCCCCACCCTCCCTTTCCTCGTTTCCCAGGTGGCAGTTGCCCTACAGCCGTTGAGCTTTCCCACGTGCTTCTGAATCCTTTGAGGAGCTTCACATTCCCCCCCTATATCCCCCTTCGTCTTCCTTATTCCCTCCTTCTCCCTCCTCTCCTCTCCTCATTCATCAGGTGGCAGTGGCCCTACAAGCGTTAGGCTTCCCCTCATCCACGCGCATCTACATCTTTTCAGGTGCTTCAATTGCCCCTTCACCCCCTTTACCTCATCCCACTGCCACGCACCCTGCCCTTCCTCGCTCCCCAGGTGGCACTGGCCCTACAAACGTTAGGCTTCCCCCCTTCCACGCGCCTCTACATCGCATCAGGCGAGCTGCACGGGGGGGGGGCTCCTCCCTTTGCCCTCTTCTACCGACAATTACTCTCTCGCGTGCTCCCTTGCTCCCATTGTCCCTCCTCGTTCATCAGGTGGTAGTGCCCTACAAGCCTTGGGATTCCCACCATCCACGCGCCTCTACATCGCATCGGGCGAGCTCCACGGGGGACCCTCCGCCCTGCAACCTCTTCTCAAAGCCTTCCCCTTTGCCACCGATAATCACTCCCTCTCCCTCTCCCTCTCTCTGCTCCTCCTTGTTCTCCCTCCTCGTTCATCAGGTGGCAGTGGCCCTACAAGCCTTGGGATTCCCCCCCTCCACGCGGCTCTACATCGCATCAGGCGAGCTCCACGGAGGACCCTCCGCCCTACGCCCTCTCCTACAGGCCTACCCGTTTGCCACTGACAAATATTCCCTCGCTCGCTCTCTCACTCCTGCTGGGGGGAAAGAGGGCAGGGAGGCCGACAGGGACGGGTCGAGAGGGGAAGGGGGGAAGAGTGGAGCAGCAGAGGGTGCAGCGGCAGAGTGGAGAGGTGGGGGAGATGAGGAATGGGGAGTGGGGCGAGGGGTATTGGAGGACCTGCAAGGGAGGAAGACGCTGCTAGCAGCGGTGGACTATGAGATGTGCCGACGAGGGGAGATGCTGGTGCTCAATAACAATGGCAACATGGCTCACATGCTCTCCGGGCATAGAAGGTGCGGTTTAGAGTGGTGGGCAATGGTGATGAGGTGGCGGTGGGCAATGGTGATGAGGTGGCGGTGGGCAATGAGTGATGAGGTGGCGGTGGGCAATGGTGATGAGGTGGCGGTGGGCAATGAGTGATGAGGTGGCGGTGGGCAATGAGTGATGAGGTGGCGGTGGGCAATGAGTGATGAGGTGGCGGTGGGCAATGAGTGATGAGGTGGCGGTGGGCAATGAGTGATGAGGTGGCGGTGGGCAATGAGTGATGAGGTGGCGGTGGGCAATGGTGATGAGGTGGCGGTGGGCAATGAGTGATGAGGTGGCGGTGGGCAATGAGTGATGAGGTGGCGGTGGGCAATGAGTGATGAGGTGGCGGTGGGCAATGAGTGATGAGGTGGCGGTGGGCAATGAGTGATGAGGTGGCGGTGGGCAATGAGTGATGAGGTGGCGGTGGGCAATGAGTGATGAGGTGGCGGTGGGCAATGAGTGATGAGGTGGCGGTGGGCAATGAGTGATGAGGTGGCGGTGGGCAATGAGTGATGAGGTGGCGGTGGGCAATGAGTGATGAGGTGGCGGTGGGCAATGAGTGATGAGGTGGCGGTGGGCAATGAGTGATGAGGTGGCGGTGGGCAATGAGTGAGGGGGGCGGGACGTTGGGAGAGATGCTGGTGCTCAACAACAGGTGGTTGGGAGGGGTCTCAACTCCTACTGGGCATGGAAGGTGCGGTTTCGTAGATAGCCTCCCTAAAATCTCATCCTCTGGGAATCGAATGCATCCGTGATCCCTCCTTACGCACACCCATCATCCAGACAGTCTCCCTCTCCGTCATCTACCCTTTCTCCCCACAAACGCCACCCCCAGTCGCAGCGGTTTGGCTCCACCATCCTCCTTTGACTCGTCTTCTCAGAAGCACACTGATCTCTGTATCGTTCAATCATCCCACCCAATCCCCTCCACTCACCTCCCACCCCCCACCTCTAAGTATGGTGCAGCTGTTTGGCTCCTCCATTCTTCTTTGAGGTTATCCTAATAACTCCCATCCCAATCAATACTCCCCCTCACCCCTCAAACCCCCCATCGCCCACTCCTCCCCCACTTCCCATCCCACTTCCGCCATCCCCCCAGGTACGATGGTGTAGGAAACACGGTGCATCTGTTTGGCTCGTCCATCCTGCGCCTCCTCACAGCCATCCAGCAAGGCGATGCCAAGAGCGCTCGCAAGCTGCGCAACCAGACGCTCAGGGGAGATGACAGCACAGGGAAGGCCGCGGCGAGAGGAGGGTTCTATGCGTTTCCCCGGGAGTGCTTGTGTGAGAGATCGGATCATGTGCCTTCTGGTATTTATTTTTGAGGCCCTAGTACAAGGGGGAATGGTGCTTAGAGCAATAGGCAATGGTGGAAGGCAGGATGACTGGCCAGATGCAGATGTGTATTATAAGACCAAATCCCTTCAGCTGCTGCAAGTCCTGATTTCATGTACAGTATGTACTATATAACATGTGCGTACTATAATCACAGCAAAATGATGCCCTTGCTCCTGCTAGAAGGCTGCTTGTGGTATGGATAGGAGGGTACCAGGGGCTGCTGATAGTGTGATGCGATACTAGGTTAGCTTAGCTTAGCTTAGCACACTGTTAGGGGCAAATGTGACGTCCCATACCAAATAAAGGTTCCGTACATCCTCCATTATTGACATGCGTGCTTCATCCGACTGCTAATATCCAGAAGGTGCGAGATGCTGGTACTATCCATTTTACCCTCCCAACCGTCCTGCATTCTCTCTTGCGAATCTTAATTCCACTTCTGTTCTAGTCGCACTTGGAGCGGCACTTCTTGATCTTTCTCTTGCACTTCTTGTACTTCTTGGTGCACTTCTTGTGGTCGTGCTCGTCGTCCTTGTTCTCGCGCTTGCACTCGCTGTAATCAGTGTTGCACTTCTTGTTCTTGTCCTCGCAGTCAGACCGGCACGACAGCATGCGCGGCGAATACAGGAACCGCCTGCTCGCGCCCAACAGCTTTCTCACGAGACCTGGAAGGAGGGAAGATAAACAATACTTTTATCAGCAAAAAGACGCTACATAACTGAGGGTACCCTCCCGTGCGGTAGACGCCGAACAGCACCCTCACGTGCCCTCACGTGCCCTCACGTGCCCTCACGTGCCTTCACGTGCCCTCACGTGCCTTCACGTGCCCTCACGGCCTTCACGTGCCCTCACGTGCTACATCATGGCAAAGAAAGGGGGAAGCGACGAACAAGGCAGCAAGGAACCGAATCTCACCAGCAGGCGCCTCATCCGCGGAAATGGCGGCGTCCGACACGTCGTCGTCGTCGGCGTCTTCCGCGTCGATCTCATTCGCGCGGCACTGCGGCGCCAGCGCGAGGGATACGAGCAGGGAGAGAGCGAGCAGGACGAAGAAGAGCTTGGATCGACTCATGGTTGCGCCTCCGCCGGTTGCAATTGAGAATTCTCAATGATCAACGGGGATGGTGTCTGCTATCGGAAGAGAGCGTGAATGGCGCAATGCTTCTCGTTGAAGTCTGAGTACAAAAGACTTCTGAATTGGAGCTGATACCGATTGACATTCTGGACTTGGCTTTTATAGGACCCGTGGTGCCTAGCACACGCGCGCAGCGTGATAAGAAGAATTTAGCGGTTGGTCGGTGATAGTGTAGGTCTAGCCGCTCGTCGATGATAAGGTAAGTCTGGTGGGATAAGGTTTGGTCGGTGTTTTGAGCTGAACCATGTACGGAGATGTGCGTGCGAATCAAATGGAGTCGGGCGGGGTTGCTCGCCCCCAGCGTTTGGAACGTGGAAAGCATGAGGAGCAGCAAATCACGCGGAGCGTCGTGAAAAGGTCACGGAGACTGGGGGGAGCTGGAACCGTGCTTTTGCGCGGGTTGATGTGCTTATATTGAAATGAAACACGAAATCGAACCGCACATTTCAACAACAATAGGTTTTGCGCGACGCGTACGCGGTGCGCCAGATTTTCACGTCGATTTCTTGAGATGTACCGATACAAAGAAGTGCCCTGCTACACTAGGCACCAGCTATACAGAAACCCTGGTTATAGAGAGTGTTGGGCAAAACGTGATAGACTCTGGGCAAAACGTGATGGACCAGGAGGTTTGAGTTACCAGTAGATATCACTTCCATTAGCTTGACCATTGACAACATGTAAGTACACCAATACAAACGGCACACATAGTTGGTGGAGGGTGGATGGAACTGCATTTTCTTTTTGTGATTCAAAATACACTATAAAGTGCAAATACATCAACACTCTGACTCGTAAAATTACAATAAAGCTAGGGCTGATCTAAGGCGTGTTTTGCTTTCTGGTACACGAATTTTCTTAGCCGGGTTTTATCTTTTATTTCCGCTTTGTAGTTTCATTTTCGTCAAAACAGTCTTTATGGCGGATCCTTCTTTTCCCATCACGGCGATCCTCGCTGCGTCCTCTCCCTACGAGGCGCCGCCCGTTCAATTGGTGACCAACGAATGACTCAAGAGCGGTCGCAATAGCCCCCACGCCGTGCCACTTGCCGTCGTTACCTCATTAGTAAGTTTAGTCTCGTACCTAGTAACGGCGTGAGGTTCAGCATAAGCAGCAGCAGCCGCAGCAGCAGCAGCACTTCAACATCGCACCCACGTGGTGACGGCACCGACAGTAGCCGTCTTCGACTGGCAGGCACGATGTGGTACTTGGCGTATTTCATGCACCGTCACCTCGACTTCCGTCTCGACGAGCTGCAGTCGCTCGCCATCCTCGCTGGCGTGCAGCCGCCAGCTCAGCCCGCCGCGCCACGTCACGATGACGTGGAATTACCGCCGCCCGCCAGCTCTGATTCACTGGAGGGAGAGCGGTGCGGAGAGGAGGGAAACGAAGGGGAGCGGGTGGTTGATGAAGTGAGGGGAATCGAAGGCAGCGAGGAGACGAGGAGGGGAGAAGGGGGTAGTGAGATGGAAGGAGAAGAGGAGGATGAGATATCAGGGGGAGGGGGGAGCGAGTGGGAGCCTGTAAGGTGGAGGAAGCCACGTGGCGATCACATGGACTCGCCGTTCTTCTACGTGGATCTGCCGTCTGATGAGGTGGCGAGGCAAATGGCCGCTAGAAGTGAGTTGGCGAAGTCGGAAATAGCCGCTAGGTGCCGAGTAGATTAGGCTTATGTCAACAGCCACAGCTTTGGGAATGCACGGCCTTCTATTGATAATACAATGGCTTCCTTACGTGCACGGATGCCTGTTATTCCGAAGCTTTAAGGTCCGCATTCCCGGCGTCCAAAACCCGGGCCAGTTGAGAAGTCGACTTCTAAAACCCTACAGCCGCGAGGAGGCTTTTCCGCTGCTAGGGTTTAGCGACTGGCACGTCGAGATTTAGGGTTTGGGCGAACTGAAGATGCTCCTTCAGTGGTGCGGACGAGAAACGACAATTGTGGGTGAAACGGAAGGTTCTTCAGCTTGCAGGGTTCAGGGTTTTTTAATTCGTCTGCTGGAGGGGGTTTAGAAGGTTGGATGGAAACGTTTGATTGGCTGACGCTGGATCAACTTCCATACGCCATCCCTCGTGCCTTGGTTCCTCGTCCTATTCCCTTGTTCCGCCAATCCATGAAGTGCCCTTGGCCCCCAACATCACAGATACTCTTTGCCTTTACCTGCTAAACGTGTTCTTTACACGCTTCCCACTCCCCCCTTCCTACCTCCACACCACACCCACCATTTTCTCAGCCCATGACACTCCCTCCCTTCTCCCACCTTCTCTACTTTTTCCCCACCTCATCTCCCACTCCCATCATCCTCCTGTCCTCTTCCCTTCCCTCTCCACCCCCCCACTCCCCCAGGCCTGCTTATAAAGGGGATATTCGACATATGGGCGGAGGCGCCCACCTACGAGGCATTAGAGCCGCAGGTGCAGGCCAACCTGACAGCCAAGGTGGTGCCATTCGTGGGCCCGGGTTCCACGTTCAAAATGGTGGTGGACGGTTTTGGCAAGATCTTCTCCATGGACGAGCAGAGGGAGCGCATGGAGCGATTCGCTTACATCCCCTTCCAGGTGAGTGGGGTGGGTGGGTGTGGTGGTGGGTGTAGGCTGATACTCTCCCCCTTCCCCCCTCCCCTCTCTCTCATGGTGGTGGACGGTTTTGGCAAGATCTTCTCCATGGACGAGCAGCGGGAGAGCATGTAACGATTCACATACATCCCCTTCCAGGGGGGTAGGTGCCTTCCACTTACTGGTCATGGCCCGTGGCGGGGTTGGGTCGACCCACCTGTCCACCCCCGCCTGGTCAGTTGGGCTTTGGCAAGATCTTCTTAATGGACGAGCAGCAAGAGAGGACGGAGCGGTTCACGTACATCCCCTTCCAGGTGGGTGGGGTGGGTGGGGTGGGGTGGGTGGGGTGGGTGGGGTGGGTGGGGTGGGGTGGGTGGGGTGGGTGGGGTGGGGTGGGTGGGGGGTGTGGGGTGGGGTGGGTGGGGTGGGTGGGGTGGGTGGGTGGGGTGGGTGGGGTGGGTGGGTGGGGTGGGTGGGGTGGGTGGGTGGGGTGGGTGGGGTGGGTGGGTGGGGTGGTTTGGGTGGGTGGGTGGGGTGGTTTGGGTGGGTGGGTGGGGTGGTTTGGGTGGGTGGGTGGGGTGGTTTGGGTGGGTGGGTGTAGGCTGATACTCTTCTCTCCCCCTCCCCTCTCTCTCCTGGTGGGTGGGGTATATCATATATGCTCATAGGGCGAGAGGTGCATTCCCATCTCGTTGAGCCAAAACGAAAGGCAAGACGAAAGGGAGCTTCTTCTGTTCTCTTCTCGCTGCGATATGCCCCCTCACTCCCACTTGCCATGGCAGGGCCGAGTGAAGCTGAGCTCGCCTGACTTTAGGTTCTCGGTGAAAGAGCAGGGGGCAGACGGCACGGCACCACGTGATAAAGAAGTGTTTTGAGACGTCTCGAAACGCAGATGGCACCAACAACACACTCCCGTGCCTCACCACCCCGTTCCCCTGGCCTGCCCTTGTCACCCTCTGTTTCCCCTGCAATCTCCGGCCTTCCCCTTGCCATGGCAGGGCAAGGTGAAGCTGAGCGAGCCCGACTACAAGTTGTGGGTGATAGAGCAGGCAGCAGAGTGCACCAACAACAACCCCCTCCCTTCCCCCCCTGGGCTCTCCAAACTACATGTTTTGGGCGAGAATGCACCAACACCACTCCCCCCTGCCCGCCCACTTTACCCTCTGTTTCACCTGCCCTCTTCCTGCTTACTCTTGCCATGGCAGGGAAAGGTGAAGCTGAGTTCGCCTGATTACAAGTTCTGGGTGATAGAGCAGGCAGCAGAATGTACCAACAACGGCCTTCCTCCCCCCCCTGCCTGCCCTCATTATGATCTGTTGCTTCTACCATATCCCCTTTTCCCTTTTGCAGGGCCGAGTGAAGCTGAGCGCCCCCGACTACAAGTTCTGGGTGATAGAGCAGGCAGCAGAATGCACCAACAACGGCAACCCACTCTCTCCCTGTCCTCGTTACCCTCTGTTGCTCCTACCACATCACCCTTTTAACGTGGCAGGGCAAGGTGAAGCTGAACTCACCAGATTACAAGTTCTGGGTGATAGAGCAGGCAGCAGAATGCACCAACACCCCCCCTGCCTGCCTGCCCTTGTTTCCCTCTTGCTTCTACCGCATCACCTCTTCCCCTTGGCATGGCAGGGCAAGGTGAAGCTGAGCTCTCCAGACCACAAGTTCTGGGTGATAGAGCAGGCAGCAGAATGCACCAACAACGGCCTTCCTCCCAACATGCCCTTGCGCGTGTTCATTGGCCGAGAGGTGCGTGTGAGGGAGGAGAGGTGCGTGTGAGTGAGGAGAGGTGCGTGTGAGGGGGGAAGGGAAATGTGGTGTACGCAGGTTGCATTGTAGCATGCATGCAGGCCCCACCCCCATCCCATCCCATACCATGTAAGGTCACTCTCGTGGTGCAAGGACGCTCAAACCCCCCGTTCAGGGTTTTGGGATCTCCAACCTGTCGCATTGTTTCACCGCTCATCACGGATTACCACCTTCTCGAGGTGACTTCTGAGTCGCTCAAACGACTTCCTTCCACCCTGCCCCATTGTTTCATCACCAAATACTACCTTCTCGGCCATGAGACGCTGAGCTGGCGCTGCTTGCCGCAACTCCCATGCACCGACTCACTTGCTGGATACCTCCCCAGCTGCTGCTTGCTCTGCTCCCCCCTCCCTCCCCACCCACACAATCCCCACCCGCACCACAGGTAGCGGAATCAGACCACACAGTGGCCACCAAGTACGAGCTCAGCCATCAGCAATACTGGGACACCCAGGGGCCAGGGCCCCTTCCACTGGGGTCCCACTCCCAGCTGAGCCCCACTCTACTGTCTCTACTGCCCCCCTCCTCACATTCTTCCCCGTCAAAACCCCCACGGGTGGGTGGCAGTATCAGACTGCACCGTGGCAACGAAGAACGAATTGAGCCGCCAGCGGGCCTCCCTCCCTCCCCGCCCGCAGGTGGCGCTACTTGGGCCCCACCCCACCGCCATGGAAGCTGAGCTGCTGCCAAGTTGTTGTTCTCTTTTCCCTCTCACGTGTACCCATTCTCTCTCACATATCTTCCCCCTCTCTACACCCACAGGTAGCCGTATCCGATCGCACCATTTTCACCAGGTACGAGCTCAGGCGCCGGCAGCACCTGGGATGGGCCCCACTCTGCTGCCTCACACGCCCTTCCCTTGACCCCTCCACACCCACAGGAGGCAGTATGAGATCGCAAGGTGGCCACCAAGTACGAGTTGAGTCGCCGGCGCTACCTGGGTCCCACCGCCATGGACGCTGAGCTGCTGCTTGCTGCACGACCATGCACTGACTCACTGCCCTCCCTTCCCTGCCGTCCCCTCCTACAGGTGGCTGTATCAGACCGCACAGTAGCAACAAAGTACGAGTTGAGTCGCCGGCGCTACCTGGGTCCCACTGCCAAGGGGGATGCTTAGCTGCTGTTAAGTTGTTGCTTCCTACACCCCCCACCTCCCTCCCCTCCTACAGGTGGCTGTATCAGATCGCACCGTTGCGACCAAGTACGAGTTGAGTTGCCGGCGCTACCTGGGCTGGGCCCCACCGCCATGGATGCTGAGCTGCTGCCGAGTGCACTCCCATGCACCGACTCGCTGCCCTACATTCCCTGCCGTCCCCTCGTACAGGTGGCAGTATCAGATCGCACGGTGGCGACGAAATACGAGCTCAGCCGACGGCGCTATCTGGGTCCCACCGCCATGGATGCTGAGCTGTCGCTGCTCATGGCCAATCAGGCCCTCGCGCGGCGTGGGGCGCTCATGTACGACCCGTTCGTGGGTACGGGAAGCATCCTGGTGGCTGCTGCCCATTTTGGTGCCATCACCCTGGTGAGACTCAGTCATGTGTGCCATTACAATCAGATCAGGCGCTGGCGCGGCGTGGGGCGCTCATGTACGACTCGTTTGTGGGCACCGGGAGCATCCTGGTTGTGAAAGATGTGAATTGAACAAGTTGTTTGATTAGAGAGCAAACCTAGCATACATAGTTTGGAAGGGAAGGTTGGAAGGGAAGGTTGGAAGGGAAGGATGAACCCAACCTATGGTTGGGTTGACCCCACATGAGAAGTGAGGCAACCATAGGTGGGGTGGGTTGGGTTGCCCACACTTCTAAGAAGTGAGGCAATTCTAGGCCCACTTGGCTTGTGGTGGCCTCAATTGGGATGTGAGGTACCCAAAAGTCAAGAGGGTTGCAATTTGGGGGCTCCACCACAATTGGGTGGATTGGCACCCCAAAGTGCAAGACTACACCCAATGTTGGGTGTAGTCCCAACCCAACTGTACACCACAATTGGTGTACAGTCACATGTGCTTAGCATGCTACAATATATAATTCTAACACAACCCCTTAGCATGCTAACACAAGAAGAGAACAACCCCTGAATCAAGGGGCGCCCGGGCGAGCGAGGCCGATGAGGCGGAGGAAAGCGGAGTGCGCAGGGCGAAGTGCTAGAATCTATCTTCTCTTGTAACCTGCATAGATGTTATAGGATAGGCTAGAGATAAGCACCCAAACTTAGTTTGGGTGTACAAGCAGGGGTTACCCAATTTGTAGGTTGGAAACCCAACCTTGGTCCAATTATTGGACCCCAAAGGTTGGGTTGGGTAGAATTATTGGTTCACACCAATAATGTTGGCCCAACCCCAACTTGGCCAACATTATTGGACCCCACCAATAATCCCCCAACCCAACTTCATGGGTGGGGTCCAATAATGGTCACCTAGGCTAGGATCCAACCCATTCCCTATGTAAACCCCCATTCTCCTCAATCCAACATCAACTTCTTTTCTAACTTTTCTTCTCACATGGTATAGAGCTCTTAAAAATCCTAGGCCTACGCTCCTAGTTTTTTTTCAAAGGCCGCCGCAACCCCCGGCCTCCTTTCTCATTTTTTTCCGCGGCTATCTTGCCACCCTCCCCCTCTCCTCAAGCACTCCCTTCCTCGCAGCCCCACGGCCTCTCACGCCGTCACGGCCCGCGCCGCTCCCTTCAACGGCCCCACCGCCGCTTCCGCGCTCGCCTTGTCGCGGTCCCGCCGACCGCCACCCCATTCCGCGGCCTTGACGCCGCCTCCGCACCAACGCCACTGCGGCTCCACCAGCCGCTGCCGTCGCCGCCGCTCCCTTCCGCGGCCTCGTCGCCGCCTCCGCGCCTGCACTGCCGCGGCTTCGCCAGCCGCCGCCGCTCGCGCCGCTCCCTCCCGCGGCCTTGTCGCCGCTTCCGCGCCTGCACTGCCGCGGCTTCGCCAGCCGCCGCCGCTCGCGCCGCTCCCTCCCGCGGCCTTGTCGCCGCCTCCGCGCTTGTACCGCCACGGCTGCGCCAGCTGCCGCCGCCGCCTGCGCCTCTCCGCGGCCCCATCGCTGCCTCCACGCTAGCGCCGCCGCGGCCTCGTCAGCCGCCGCCGCCAGCACCGCTCCCCTCACGGCCTTGTCGCCGCCTCCGCGCCAACGCCACCGCAGCCCCACTAGCCGCCGCCGTCCGCGCCGCTCCCCTCTGCGGCCTCGTCGTCGCCTCACCTCCCTCTCCTCCGTGACCACTGCGAGTCCCCCCGCGGCCGTCCTTCATGGCTACCGCCGCACCTTCCCCCGCCCCCCTCCCTCCTCCTATTGATACGTCCTCCGTCGATAAACT